AGAGACAATCAAATTATTTCACTATAGGAACCCAAACATATTTTCCTTTAGGAACACCAAAATGTTTAATTCTACACCTATTTGAAGTATGACCATTTTTCATACAATAAAAGCATGCATTAGATGTAATATTTGAAAATGATACATTTTTATTTTGTGAAGATTTAGTTTCTTTTTCAACCCATACTATTCTATTTCTATTTTTAGACTTTTTCAATGAAACATGACAGTTTTCTCTATTTTGAACAATAGCCTTATCTTCATAACTATCACTTAATTCTTTCTTAGCTTTATCAAGCAAGTGACTAAGTATATCAATATCATATTCATACTATTTACATGATGCACATGTTATTTCTTTGTTATCATTTTCCTCTAAACATTCAATTTTCGTTTTCAAGGATTCTACCTCTTTTTCTAATTTATTCAAACACAATTTCACATATTTATATTCATTTTTCAAGTCTTTAAAAGCAATAAATAATTTTTCATATGCATTTTGTAAAGCGTCATAATCATTTTCATCATCACTTGAGAAAGAGTCGGAATCACTAACCTCAAAATCGGAAGAGATGTTGTCATTTGTGATACATGTTTATTTTACCTCACAATTTTAGGTTAAATTAGGTCAATTTCATGCAGTTCTTGTAACAATTAGATAATATTTGTTTTATTTATCGTTGCATTTAACTTTTAGTTTAGTTTTTATGTTTTGTTGAAAAAACAGGTGCATTTAGAACAACTTTTGTGGTGGGCTTGTGCGGCTGGTATCACTCATAGGCTGCCAGTGGAACTTTCAACAACTTAACTTTTGGGCTTGGGCTGAAGCGGGAGCAAAAAAAGCAAAAGGCAGAAATGAAAACGAAAAGGGCTGACGTGGAAGGAGCAAGAAGGGAGTTTAAAAGGAAGCTGTAATGAATTTGTAACGGCAGCAACTTTTAGTATAGAATTTTTAGGTTTTTGAGCTTGGGTAGAAACTTTGATGGAAGGCTAAATTTTCCTTTGTTAGAGGATTAATGTAATATCCTGTAAGACAAATTCTGAACCTATTTACTCTGATGCATTGTAATTCTATTTATTCCAGTATTTTATCTATGGTTTTTAATGTTTAAACTTAAGCAGTTATATTTGGAAAAATGTATTCTGTTTATGTATATGGATAAAGTAAGTTGGGTTTTTGTTTAATTGGGAAATTTTACAGACCTGGCTAGTTTTTGTGTAGTAAAAGATTAAATTTCAAGATCCAGGAAACTCTTATTTTCCAAGGGATTGGGAAGTTGAAAGTTTAATGGATAATTTATTTTCTAAGGGATTAGGAAATGAATAGCACGTTTAACTCTAAGGGATAAATTTAATTCTTGCATCAAGTAAACAGGCTAGGAATTTGTAGGAAAGGATACGAAATTAATTCTCTAACACCTATTTTACTGCAAAAGAAAATTATTCTTTTTATTGTCATTCTTACAAACTCATATTACTCAAACTTAGAAAAGATTTTAATACTCTGGTATTCAACAAGTATTCAATCCCTGAGGACGATAAAATGGTAATATTTGGTCCACTCACCAAAAATATACATCAATTTGCCATCAAGCAAATGTTTGCTTCAATTTCTGAATCACTTGACTCCGAACTTGAGTCACTATTATCCCAAACAATGTAGGCTTTCTTTTTGAATAATTTTTTGCCTTTATGATCTTCATTTTTCTTGTTTGGACAATCAGTTTTTACATGTCCTGTTTCACCACAACCGTAACATTTAATATTTAAGGAAGTACTTTCTCTTACCTTTGAAGGGTTTCTTCCCTTTGGCTTTCATGAACTTTGTAAATTTCTTTATCATGAGACTCAAATTTTCATCATCTTCATTTTTGAGTCTTCTTCTTCCTTCTTGTTCTTACTCTTGGAAATTTCAGTTTTGAAGGCAAGGTTCCTCTTTTGGTGTTGGCCTTCTTCATCATTTAGCCTTCCGAGTTCAAGTTCATGTTCTCTTAGCTTTCCAAAGAGCGCCGCCATAGACATGGTATCAAGATTTTGTGACTCCGTGATGGCCATCACCTTTGGTTGTCATTTCCTATCCAAAGATTTGAGAATTTTTACATTTAATTCATCAATATCAAAAATTTTACCTAGCCGGGTGAGGTGGTTCACAATATGTGTGAAACGCTTTTGAACGTCAAAAATTGTTTCTCCTTGTTGCATCCAGAACATCTCATATTCTTGAATCAATGAATTTTTCCATGCTCTTTTAACATCATCGGTACCTTTGTGGGTTACTCTTAGCATTTCCCACATTTCTTGAGCACTCTTGCAAACAGATATTCTGTAAAACTCATCAAAGATTAAAGCAGATGAAATTATATTTTTAGCCCTAACATCATATTGAGCTTTTCTATTTTTTTCAGCCGACCATCTAGAAAATGGTTTTGGTACCTCTTCTTCGTTTTCAGTAATCTTAGGAATAAAAGGACCATTTAAAATTGCATCCCAAACACCTCTATCAACATATTCCAAAAATATTTGCATTCTAACTTTCCCAAAAGGATAATTTTGCCCCGCAAAAAGTGGGGGTCTATTGATAGAAGCACTCTCAGCAAAAGTTTGATTTTGTCCGACCATTTTCGAAATTTGAATGATTATCAAAGCAAACTCTGATACCACTTGTTAGAATCGCGCAGTAGAATGTTTACGTTTACGAACAAGAACCAAGAGGGGGGGGGTGAATTGGTTTCTTAAACAAAAATTAAGGTTTTAAAATTTTTCCCAAATTTCACCGATTAAAATGTTGTGTAAAGTAAATAGATAAGGGATGGAAGATTACACAGTTGATTTATACTGGTTCGGATCAAAAGACCCTACGTCCAGTTTCTAATCACTCAAATAGAGGATTAACGCTCTCACTATAATCATAGTTTAAAAACAAATTACAAATTGAAAAGATAAGGTAAACAAAACACCTCTCTTGAGTCACATAAGAGATGAACACCTCCTTTGAATCCACAAAGGATGAAGAACAGTTTTTCCTAGAGACGACACAACACACAATCCACCAAGAAACCCACTCAGTGATTCTTATCGCTTCTAGCCCACACTAGGTTTTCAAAAGCCCCTTTTTCTTCCCTACAGAAGTTTTCTAGCAGTCACAACTCTTAACTTTTGTATGAAAAATGTTTGTTCAATCTGTAGAGAGCCTTAGAGAACTTTAAGTTGAGATAATAGGGTCTGGGAATTGGAGATTTTCGAAAATAGATGAATTGAGAATAAGGTTTTCGAAACTTGGTCCAAATTTGAATTTCAAGACACATAACAGACGCAAATAATCGATTATCTTGAGTGATAATCGATTATTCCAGAGCCAATATTCGTAGGGAAACAAAACTAGGTCAGGATAATCGATTATCTGGCCAAATAATCGATTATCAGCCTGTGATAATTGATTATCCTGAGTGATAATCGATTATCACAGAGAGGATTTCCTGAAAATGATTTTCTTGCTGTAATAATCGATTATCCAGGGTGATAATCGATTATCACAGTGTAATTTTGATAAAAATGAGTTTTTAGAGTTTTTAAAGGATGGTTTATATGCTGATTATCTTGGACTCTAATATTACAGACTCAAAAACATAAAAACAGAGTTATTACATAAGATTACAAGTCTTCAAATCTCTAAGTCTTTTATTCTTGAATCATCATCAAAATCTACAAGCTTCATATCCTTGTATGTTCAACACTCATATCCTTGTATATTCAACAACATCAAAGTCTTCACTTTTAATGCAACTTTATTTAGACTTGTTAAAATCATATTATTTAATATAAAATTAAATTATATAAAATAATTAAAAAATAAAATCATATTATATAATATTTTTTAATGAAAAAAATATATTATAATTAAAAACAATATTTTCTTTACTAAAATCTTATTTTTCATTACTATTTATTTGAATTCATATTTTTTTTAAATTACCTAATTTAGTGATTTATAAAAATAATTAAAACATTTTAATATTTTTCTAGTTGACCTGTATTTGGTTAAAAAAAATTATAATTTCTAACTTGAAATTTCTGTGATCATAAGGGCATAACTTGATGAATTAATATATACCAATATTTTTCAAAAGAGTGAAAAAGAAGAAGAGAATAATGTGATTTTATTTAAAATGAGTTTTTCATCTCATTTAACATGTTATTATTTAATAAAATATATATCACAACCTTATAAAACGTGTCAAAACATAAAAAAATAAAAAGATTTCATATATAAAAAACAATGTAAGTTTGATAAAATAAAGTAAGTTTATATAAAATAATTAAATTTAAAATTTTGATTCAGTGTTATTTTTTAGATTTTAAAAATAATTTTAGTAATAATTTTGAAAATATATTAAAAAATATTCAATATCTCTAATTTAAAAATTATCAATAAAAAAAAATAAGACGATAACAATTCACAATAAAAAAAATTCAGCCACTCTGACATAACATTGTGATAACTCTTTAATATAAATATAAATATTAATAAAAATAAAAAATATAATATAATTTTTTTAATTTTTAAAATAAAAATAAAAAATAATTTAATAAAAAGTTTATCAAAAAAATTTAAGATTTTAAAACATTAAAAATGTTTTAAAATTTAATAAACAAATATCTCGTTCTTCTCTCCCTTTTATTAACATTTATTTTCTTTTTTTCTTCTTATTTTCGATAAAGCAAATTGACCTTTATCTTTTATTGTTATATTTGAAATTATATATAAATAAATATTTCTTGAAAATAAATATGATTAATTTTGTTTTATATGTTGGTGGTCCTAAGACCTCAAATGAAATAATTGAAAATAATGTTTTATTTAATATCTTATTGAAGTAATTGAAATCAAAGAAAATCTTTGGCTTTGTCAAGGGGAGTGAAAAGTCTAAAAGTTTGACATTACATTTTTGTCATACACACCAACTTTAAGCTTTTCAAGGACAGAAAATTCATCCCTCCATATGATGTCAAAAGTTATATATCCAATTCCAAAAGTTTTCTGAAATCAAACTTGCAATTCTTCTTATTCATCATCCCTGTTTGAGAAAAAAAATATATAATTTGGTGAAACATGATAAATAACATGGTCAATTGACTCTCTTTCATCTCTACTATGTTATCATGTTTGAATTTTTTGTTATGAGTTTGATAGGTAAAAATTAGAAATTTTTGTTTATTTTTTTCTTAATTTTAATCAATTATATTATTTTTAGTAGGTATTAAATCAACCTGTCAAGTTTAGTTAAACCAAATTGAAATCAATAAAATATATAAAATTAAGAATTTGATGAAAAAAATGAATTTTTGAAAATTGTTCAAGTAATATTGAAGGAAAAAACTAAGCACTGAAGAGATATATAAGATCAAAATTATAATTACAAATTAACCTAAATAATATGATATATATATATATATATATATATATATATATATATATATATATATATATATATATACATTAAGTTTTGTAAAATTACTTTTTATTTTAATAATTTTTAATCATTAGATTATATGAAGATGAGTCATGAAAATGAAAATAAGTATTTAACCCTTCCTAATTGGTTTTAATAATAATAATAATAATAATAATAATAATAATAATAATAATAGATAAATAATTTGAAGTGAGAAAAAAAAAAGATAAATATAAATCTTCCTTATCACTGCACCCATCTTATTCATGGTTATTGTCTTCTAGAAGTTGTGTTGGTTTCTCTTCCATTCTTTCTTATTAGGTGTGTTTTGCTTTTGTTTTTTTTTTTAATATGGTTTAAGGTTATTTTTCCCAATTGAAATGCCATGATTGATAGATTGGAATAGAACTAGGAAGTTTTTGGATTTGAGGGAAGAATAAGATTTTGAGTAAGGATTTGTTGTTAACATTACTTCCCAAGTTGCTCAGCTTTGTTATCCTTTTATGCTACTCTATTGAGAGGGCCAAATATCTATCACATATTCTTCCTCCACTCCATTATTAAAATAAATTTATTTATCTTTGATTTGTAAAAATAAATATTATTTTATCTTTGAATTGTAAACCCCATCTTTAGAAAACTTTCATATTAGGTATTTTGGAACACTCTATTCAAAAGAGTTTCAGATTATGTTTTCTAAAACACATTTTCAGATGGGTGTTTTCTAAAGAATTATAGATTTTAGATTGGATAATTCAGAATAATTTTCAGAATATTTCCCAATTATGTTAGTGTTTCTAAAAACTTTCAAATTGGATAATCCAAAACAGTCCCAGAACATTTCTTTTCATATTAAATGTTCTAGAACCATATTGGTGTTCCAAAAGAATTCTGGATAGGGTAATTAGGAACTTTTAATTTCCGGATTGGTTGTTAGTTGAGGTGACAATGAGAGATTCTTGGTGAATAATGTTGCTGAAGGATTTTCTTTTGAGTTTGTTATTTCTAACAAAACAATTTGACAGTGGTGTGTTGGGTCCTGAATGGTCTAATAATTCGATGTTTGAGCTTCCTTTTTCAAATGTTCTTCCAAGGTCTTGTGTTCAATCTTCTTGTGATTGTGGTTCATATCTTGATTCTAAATTTCTATGCTAAGGCTCTTGACATCACTGTCACCATCATAATCAAAGACCTTGACAAATGGGTTATTGGCATTTGCTATTATCGGATCAGTGGGAGCTTTTGCTGGAATATGCACCATAGTTTATGGCATGTGGAATGGAGTTTGTTTTGGGAAGAAGAAAGCCCACAATTCTATGCAGCCTACAATCACAAGGGGTAGCATGGTTCCAATGGTGGGGGGTGCTTCTAATGAGACGCAGGGCTATGGCGGTGTAGCACGGAGAATGAAAACGAGGTATCATATTAATGTTTAAGATAATACACAAGGATATTTTTGTTATTTTACACAAGTTATCATGAAGAACGTGCCACCAAATATAAACTGCCCCTGGTGCAATTTGTATAATGTTTTCTATTAATACCACAGTTCTTTATTATTTATAGTAATATAAACTTATCATTTTAAGGGCCAAGATGCATGCAGTTTTAAAAACAATTGCAGAGGATCTACATTTGACAACAGGTGATTCACTGAGATTCTTATAATGTTATATTTCATGCATCAATTTTGTGCAATTAAAAGGACATGTACATGCATCAATGTAAGATACAAAAAAGGAATCTGCAGCACATTCCCTCTGCAATAAATAATACAACTTTGATACAGTTTTTCCCGTGCATTTGATGTTGTTCTCTAATTGGAATTAGAGTTTTGTCTCAATAAACTGTGTTGATACTAAATGCAAACTTTTATTTTCCAAATTACTGAGATGAAATTCTATTTCTAAATGGACAATAACATTAAAAAACACATAAAGATCTACATCTAATACACACCACCTATGATCAGACTAGATGTAAGACAAAACAAATGCAATAAAATACGGGGTCAAGACAAGTCCTAGGACGCCATTCATACTTGTTTCCAATGGTCCACTGTCAGATATCACCATGACCTTGCTGAGCCCTTGACTCATAGAAGAGCATTACAGTTGAGTAAATGGTAGAGGGTTCAGCCATAGCACCATTGCCATAATCTCCACAAGCTAACCGCTTTGTAACAGGAGGGATGAGAGAAATACCAAGCTCATCAATGGAGATGAGATGCCGCTCGGTGAAAGGATTGTTCCACATAAAAGTGTTCATGGCTGGTGCAACAAAGAATGGCTTGTTGTAGTCCCAGGCTCGCACGATGCATGTCAGTAGATTGTCACACAACCCTCCAGCAATCTACAACAACATATATTCAACATATGAAGAGGTTTGTAAATACTTCAGTACTTTAGTAGAAACTCATGTAAACCACATATAAGATGTACATACAAAAGCTGAAAACCAAAAGATGCATATGGATTCATATCATTGAGTGAACTTGCCTACACTGTATAAAATTAAGTATGTCAAAGACATGCCAATTTGTTTAATTTAATGTGGAGAAATATAAGTTATAATTTTAACTTATTGTGACTATGTAGAAAAGACAATGTACCACCATTTGTGCATTTAAGAGGTGCTCGGAAGAATTTAATTCCAACTTATTCAGGCTCTATCATATGGCATGAGCACTTGTGCAAATGTCTAGGAGAGAATATGAAATAGCTTATGTTAATATGCTATCCAGGGTAGCCTCTGAAAACAGTTTATAAGTTATAACTTGTATGGGAACAGTGTAATCACATTTTATATTCAATTGAAGAAACAACCTAAGCACTTATTCAGTAAGCACTTATGTTGTTTACCCAAATGCATCCTTGGTTACCTTGCCAAGGGTGTTTGCTGATAATGGAGCAATGACCATGATATCAGCCCAGTTGCGAAGCTCAATGTGAAGCACATTATCACCAAGTTTCATCCACCTAGACCACTCATCGTCATCGGTGTATAAAACTACATCCTTGGGCATTGAAGCTTTATCAATGAAATGCAAAGATGCATTTGTGGCAACTGCTCTTACATCTGCCCATTCAGAGAAACAATGACAAAGATTTGCAAATTTGACAGCAGCAACACTCCCACTAGCAGCAAGTAGAATCCGGGGCTTCCTTGGTGCAACATCCACAGTCCTAGTCTCTCCCTTTGCACTAACAGGTTCTGAACCAGCCATCAATCAGAGCCTTCCACAATGATCTTAAATATCCATGATTCAAACAGGAGTTTCAGCTCAGTCCTGATAACCCTTCAAATTGGTAAACTAAAACCCCTTTAGAGGACAGTAGAAAGTTACTAAATATTTGAATCACATTAATGCAAAAGGAAAAATTTCTTAGTTTTTGAACTAAAACTCAAATATACATGAATCTAAAGCCCAAGTCTAACCATAGTCATACATAGATAGCTTAACACCAATGACAACATCTACCTCTACATACTATGTTCAATTCTTTATGATAGATTTTCCATAAATTGAAAAGAAAGTAAGAAAAGTTAAAATAAATTAAGCTTTTCTCATTAGCAAACCAAAGATCAATACCCTACATACGTTAAGAAAAAGAGTTTAATTCTCAGAAAAATGGTAAGAGCAACCTTTTTTTTTTTATCCTTAAAGCAACAATTAAAAATCAGCCCACATCACATCACCCCACATTGTTCCTATAGTTATAAAAACTTTATCTTTTAGTCCATATACTTAAAAATATCCCATTCTAGTCCCTGTACATATTATTTATAATTTTTAGTCTATACTCATATAAATTTTAATCCTTTTTAGTCCCTAGAAAAAATAAGACTAAACCAAAACGGGATTTTTTAAATATTGGAACAAAAGATAAAAGTTTTATAATTGTAGAGACCAAAAATGTAATTAAACAATTATTATATAAATCAACAATTTTACAATTCATGACCATCATGATTGAATAAAAATATAAAGAAACTCAACAATATCCACATTCACCACATAGTGCAACACATCAGAGTTCAGCATTACAAATTCATAGTTAAGTTACCTACCGACCTACATATGTACATACATTCCCTTCCCTCAAAACAAGAACCCTAGAGAGAGATCCCTGCGTTAACAATCACATATAATTAAAGTAGATCAGAGCAGATTTTACAGAGAAAGGGAGACCCAATTTGAAAAGTAAATTCCCAGAAGAGAGAGGAACAGTGGTGTCGAACTGAATCCAAAATTTAAAAAAGTATTATATAAAATGCACCAGCAAAAGTGCAATCCAGGATTTGTATTCCCAGAAAACCCCACCATAGATTCGATCTATTTATTTTGTTGAAAAATATGATGGGGTCAAGGAAAATGAAGAAAAGGTAAAACTTGGTATGAGTAAGATGAAGATAGAAAGAGTGAAAGGGGAATCAAACTGGAAGAAGAAGCAAAACTAACCTTACAGAGGGTGGGTGATTTCCAGGTAACACAATAGAACAACCTCAGGAATCGCGGAGAACACAATCTCTGCTGCCAGTACTCAGAAACTGATCTCCGGTTGGGGCTACGAACACCAGACTTATTTATAAAATACAAAATTTAAGGAAGGGTTCGGGATAAAATAAGATAAATATATTCTGTTTTTTTTTTTTTTTTTTTTGAATTTCGTCTTATATTGTTCTGATTTTTCAAAGTGAATTATCTATTTTATTATCTCATTTTCTCACTTAAATTATCTAATAAAAGTCATCAAGTGGTATATAAAATATAAAATTGATCAGGTGTGATATACATTATTATATATTTATATATTTATGGTTAGATTAGTGTTACATTAAAATAATGAGGTTAACACTAATAATATTTTACTTAAAAAATAATAGAGTTGAGGGAAGAGATTATTTAAAAAAAATAAATCAAATCAACATTAAGTATAATAATAAAACAAAAAAATAAACATAAAACTTATTTAATTTGTATTAAAATAATATATTTTGAAACTTATTATTATAATAAAATTACCATGTGTATTTTATAAACGAATTCATATGATACAATTAAAATATATCATACTATCATATTGAAATTTATGAAAAAGAAAAAAATGGATTAGAAAATATTTTTTTATAAAATCATGTTGTTTATTTTTTTTAATATAATTTTTTTATTATTAAACATAGTTTTATATTTAATTATAGGAAGTAAGGTATTGCTTAATAAAGCCATTAAATGTTAAATGAATCTTTATTTTAAATTAATTTGAATAAGTTTTTAAAATAATACACGAGTCTAGAAAATAAAGAAAAAAATATAAAATATTTTTTTTACAAGTTAAAATTAATATATAAAAATAAAAGTACAATTTTTAACATGCTATAAAGATAACTTTTATAAATTAACTTATTCATAAAATAATTTTAAATTATATTTTTTCTTTTTGAAAACATTATTGTAAATATTATTTTATTATTGTAGAAACTTTTTTATTATCAAAATTTAAAAATAACTTACCATAATTATTTTTTGATATTACCTTAAATATTAATTATTGTTTAAATGTTAAGAAATAAAAATTAAACATTATACTATTCAACTAGGTTTATAATAATAAAATTCTTATTCTATCTACGATTCTAATAACACATAATGATAATTTTTTTATGACAATTCTATAGTATTTAATAATAAATATTTATTTTATTAGTGCGTAATAATAAATAGAATAAATCTAAACATTATTTTATTGTTTAATAATACATATATTTTTTTTCACGAGATGATAAACTTAAAACAGTAATGGCTTTGCAAATTATCTGAGTATTATGTTATTAATTGTTGAGTTAAATTTATAATAAATCAATTGCATATTATTAAACTAATTTTATCATCTATAGTTATGTATAAATAATTTTTTAATAGTTATTTTTTTAATTAGAGAAGAGAAAAATGAAAGTGTAAAAAATGAAACTTGTCTTTGGAAAGATTTGTCAGAATTTTATAAATTGTATGTGTTTTTAATACGATAAGAATAAAATATTAAACAGTATGGCACTATAGTATAGATTTACAAAGATCTTAACTACGTTTGCAGAATAGTTTGTAATTTTTTTTTATGGTTTATATATTTAAAAAATAATAAAAATACAGAGAGAAGATATAATACTTAATTAGTAGAAAAAATAGATATATTAAAAAAAAATTAGAGTAGTATTTAAAAAAAATATTAATTATACATGTGATATATATATATATATATATATATATATATATATATATATATATATATAAGGGAGTTCCAGAATCTACGGACGAGAAAAAAAATAAAGTATGATAATTAAAAAAGTTATTATAATTTATATATTTAGAAAATAATAAAAATATGAAAAAGAGAAAATCTTGGATAAAAAGTTAATATATTTAAAGAATAAAAAGAAAAAAGAAAATAATATTTTAAAAAATTTAATTATAAAAAATATAAATTCAAAAATTAACATTTATATTTTTATTAATAATAATAATAATATTATGATTATTGTAGATATTAAATGATAATATTTAAAAAAAATGGTAGGACCCTGTAGTTATGGTGACTATAACATAAAGCAAAATTAATAACAATAAAAACCAAATAATAAAATTAATAATAATAAATATTAGATGATTTAAAAGAGATGATTGTTTTAACTTTTTAACCAAGATCGATAAAAAAAATCAATTAAATTTTCAGTGAAGTAGCTTAACATGTATTTAAACCAATACAAAATGATATGAGGTAGGCGATGTGGGACTTTCAACATTTATAAATAATATATTTAAAAAAAAAATTAATCAAATGAAATCTTTATCAATTTATTTACTCAAGTAAATAGGTTCTTTCTATTCCTTATTTTTCTATTCTCTATCTTACTTCTCTTATTTTATTTTCTTTTAATTAAACTACTATATTATAATTTAATAAAATATGTTAAAAAATAAATATTTAGAAGTCAAACATGAAATTATAAAAATACTAACTAATTATTTAAAATTATGATGAAAATAAATAATTTTATTTATTTTGATAGTGAATAATTAATTTAAAATTATTTATCTTAATAAATATTTATTCATCTATTTAAAAAAATCTCAAATATTTATAAATTAAATATATTTTTTATTTATTAATTTAATTTAGTTATAATTAGATTGAATTATGATAATTAGTTACATTAGATAATTTTAAAAAAATATTTATTTTTTTCTTAATAATATAATATTTTTAAATATAATATATTAAATTATATTATTTTTAGATCATTTAAATATTTTTATTTTTGGTGATAATAAAATACTCATCTTTTAAAATTTCAAATTATTATTTTTAATTGAAGATTAAGATGAAATAAATGAAAAACAAAAAAAAGGAAAAAAAAACACAAAATGAACAAAAAAAAATGAAAAGCAAATAAAGAAAGAAAAAAATAAATAAAAAGAATGAAAAATAATTGTATCTTGTTTTCTTTTATTAAATTTTGTGGATGTACATTACACAGTTATAAATAAACTTAGAAATATTTTATTTAAATAATTTTTCGTTTTAAATATATTATTTATAGGATTGATTCTAAATTTATAATAATTTTAAATGTAATTTCAAAATTCTTGTAAGATTTATTTTTGACATTTCCATCTCAATTTTTTCTTTTTTTATTTCATAAAAATACATAATTATATTTATTAAGGTAATTTAAATATTAAATTGATAATACAAATATATATGAAGGCCTTCTATCTTATATCACAGCCTACATATGCTTCTGAATTTCATAGATTTTAGACTTTCAATTCAACAAATCAGGTGCAATAAATTTATAATATACAAACTAACTTTTATGTTGGTTTGGAATTTCAATGACAATACAATGCAAGTATTCGTCCCGACAACCAACAAAAATCCGACCACCAATCATTAAGGGTGAAGAGAATATATCCCCTGCCAAGTTTAGCTTTGCAAATTCTTCCACATACCTTCTTTGTTGATTTGAATCTTTGGAATTATTCATGTTAACTCGAAGAAGGTGTATGCCTCCAGAACTGGAACAAATGCAAATTAACCTGAAGAAAATAGTAACAAATAAGATTGATGTTGATAGCCGGAGTACCTAACCGGTATGAATTGGATATCTCGAGTATATTAGTCATATCCAAATATCTAGACAATATGCAAACACTCGACATAACCCTACCAACTCATTCCGATATTCTCAAAAACTATCCAAAATATTAACTTTACAGATAAAGATAAATATCCTTTTTATCTCGCATAATGACGATGATCCACCTTTATTTATATAGATCCAACATCCCCTTTTTTTCACTCAATTCACTCCCATACTTGTTTGAGCATAAAAATCCTTTACTAGTATATCCTGCGGGTTGAAGAGGAGCTCACATGCTCTTCAAACTCCGATAACAACAACTGGTATGCTGCACTTTCTCTTCTAGTTCAAAAGATGTGTTTGGGTAAATTTTCTCATGAGTACTTTTAGATGAAAAAATAACATAAATTTCTTTATAAGTTAAAATTAACTTGTGAGGAAGTTAATTTACAAAAAGTTATTTAGTACTAGTTTTTTAAAAGATAATTTTTAACTTGTGTATAAATTAATTTTAGATTATGGAGAAATTTATTACAATTTTCTTTATTATTTCTTCTTCAAAAAGTACTTAGGGAAAAATTTATAAAAGTAGACCCTAAGAAGACTAAGTTAACCTGTCTGAGGAATTGGAAGCATCAGAGTCCAGCACTAAGTGCTCGTCCACATAAGCCGATGCTGTAATTGGATCTCCTACATTGTATTCCCATAGTAGGTCGCCCTCCTCCTGGTGATAATCCAACATATGGAGCAAAACAAAATATTAATCTAAGCAGTTCGTTCCGAGCACTTCACATTCTTACTTTTCCATATCATAAATCTTAGAATCTAAACCAGAACAACAAGCTTACTAAACCTGAGCAACAGACACTAGGGACAACACAATGGTAACATACATTCTTACATGGGACAATGATTTGGTGTTGTTGTATTTCCAGAAGGAGAGGCCTTCAAGTGTTATTAAACAAGAAAACTTCTACAAAGTTTAGTATATTGTTGAAAATAAGTGCATGAAATTCCAAATAGTTACAGTTTAGGACAAATTTGTGCGTGCTTTAAAGTGGTAGATCATAGAATAGATGTATGTCCAATGCATACTGAAAATTGCATTTTAAACAGACAATATATAAGGTTAAAGACATCGTACTATACTTTCTAATGGCTGCACTGGTTCATACTCAAAGGCAGAGTGAATATCATTTTTGCAAGCCATGAATGGATACATGTCTATTAACTTGAATAATTCAGCGACAGACTATTTTACAATCCTCAAATGAACAAACTTTGTCTTAGAATTCAGGACACCATAAGCCCCTCTACTCTAGTCAGCAACTGCCAACATCAAGTGGATATGTGGATTCATTCTATTCTTTCTTTTAAAAAAAGTGAGGTGGGAGTAGAATGCACAACAATTGCTAGCAATACAAGATTTCAAGCTATTTAGTCTGCTAAACTCATTTCGTTTATTGAAAATACAAGGCGTATTAATTGCAACACTGAAGCTATGAAGCACAACACAAAATGAATTGGAGTATTATCAGAAAGAGAAAGGGGAGGGAGAAAAAATTATTATACAAATCAGACAATAAACTGAAACAGATTCATCAATTAACTTTGATCTCAGATAGGGAATATAAATATTGTAAGTTTAAAAGTAGTTGGTCTTGTCAAGAATCTCATATAATAGAAATCAAAATCCATGAAAAAGCAATAAAAGGGCAGTTCTCACCAGTTTGAATGAGTACACATTTCCGCTTCTGGAGCATACAAGCACCTAAGGAGGAATGAATAAAACAATTACTAATGTAAATAAATCTTTCTTTGGTTATTGATACAGACCAACACAGCAAAATAAAGATTAAAGTCAAAGCATAGAATAGAAGAAGAAAGAAATACTATTATTCTGTATTATTTGCAACATTAAAGGGAAATTCATAACAACTTCTACTGCCCAGAGCTAGGCTCCTCTAGAGTAACCCAACCAGTTCCTCTCTCTCTCTCTCTAAAAAAGATTCTCCCTCACTAACATCCCTTCCTTCCACTTATAACTGATTCGTCCTAACTAGAAAATATCCTTCTCTCTCCTCTAACTGCTCTCCCTCTTAATTATGCCACCTCAGCCATATTTTCTTCTTTCTCACATACTCTTCCTCATCTTTGCTTACCCCCTTCTTGGACTAGTGGTTCACGAGGCCCACTAACTCTTTGGGCCTCATCAGTTATTTAGAGAAATGATAATATATTTAACCAGTAACTCTAATATTTGTATATTAATATGGAGGAGACTTCTTAAAGACACAAATGTCCTTTACTTGACGCACTATACGTAAACTAATTGAGTGGATTTCCTTATAAATTATTACTACACTGTTATTAAAACAGAAACCAGCATAAAAATTCAAAATCTTTTATTGATCATGACCAAATGATGTTAGGAGGTAAGTGGAAAAAGAATTATGCAAATGACCATGTAAAATCCATGAAGAGATAGATCTACCTCATGAGGAAGAACAGAAGGCATGCATGACCCAGCAAATATTGGACCATCAGTTGTTTTCTGAGCAAAATTTGTAACAAATCAGGTTTAAATTACTTCCATCCGGGATAAGTTTAGGATTGCGAGTCTAATGAGATCCATACTTCATACCTTCCAAACAATGGATCCATTTGGATTCAATGCAAGAACATGACCATCTACCAAGCAACATATTACTACAAGAAACAGGGAGAAGAGCATACTGCTATAAGGACAAAATACAGGACATAAATAATTAGAGAGGCAAACAACAAATTCAAAAGCCAGAGTAACAGCACATACCAGTTCCATTGTGGGCAACTGCAAGAGAACCAAACACAGGAACTTCTAATTCATTTAGCCACAAAACAGTAAATGGAGAAGCCTGAATTCAGAAAAGATTATGTTAGTCAGATTTATGCAATAGTTCTGACATATACCAATAGTTCTGACTTGAACATGTCGACAGCTTTATCATTCAGCAACATTAACAGATTTATGCATCTAATGTTCAAACCTCAATTTCTTGGGTCAATACTAAGCAACTTCAATGATTTACTTTTTATATTATTTCTCATCCATGCTATAATTCAATCACCAATGATATAGGCAGAAAAGCAGTTTCATGAAAAATATGTCTATTTATACCAGATTTGTTATGAATTAAAGAGCATGAAATAGCTCAAATTGAGTACAGCAGGCAAGCAACAAAATCCTAACTCATAATATTAAGCTGTCAAAATACAGGTCAGTCCAAATCCAAACGTATCCTGTCAAAGGAATGCATAGAGACTTTTGTAATCTTGTTTTAACCTGTACTTTTAGTTGACGCTTGACAAGACTCTATTCTCCCAATATAACACTCTAGTCATGAAAAAAATCCATGCTTCTTTTCTTCTATTCTTTTTGTCTTTGTTCTTTCCTCTATGGAACATTAACAATTGTCAGTTTGCAAGATAAACATCAAGTATAAAACTTTCTGCTTCCTTTTTCTTCCTTCTATTTTTTTCTAAGGATCATTCTTCTATGAATATATAACTATTGCCAGTTTGCAAGAGAAACATAAAATATCATAGTTAGTGGAGTTACCAACAAATGGACACCTTTGAATCTAAAGGGGAAGAAGCTGCCATTTCTACAAAAAATATTTTCATAAGAAACTGAAACCAAAGGATGGAATTTGCACGTCTAGAAACAAGTCACTCCATATAAATACAGAATTGAAGACCCGCTAAAGATACAAGAAGTATATATGTATTTAAAGATTTATAAATTCATCATACCGATATTGATATAGCTGTTATACGACCACCAGTAGAGGCCACGTAAAGCAAGTCACGAACCTACAGAAACATTAGCAAGAACTCAATAGTGATCTTTAATTAAACAATATGTATATATTATGTCATTTAGAAGGGAAATTCACCTCATCGATTGCAGGCGACCCATATATACTGCCTCCACATGGTAACTTGTACACACAACAATGTTTTTTGTAGTCAAGGGCATACAAGTTATGATCATGTGAACCACACCTATATAAACATTAAACCATGCTGAAAACTTAAATAATTTCCGAACAAACTACATGTAACATATCTTTTTAACATATATCAGGGGCTTCTGACACACTAGTAGATTATTTGAACATGAGCTCTGCAGAGAGAAGCTCCACCTTTGCTTCTAGTCTAATAATCAATATTTTTGTATGTGTTGATGTTTAGATTGTAAATATGGTTACAAGTATGTACTTATTTAGTGCATTACTAATTTATGAATTATATTATCAGAAGAGAAAAAATTATTAAAGGGGGAAGAAGAAAAGTATTACACGAGACAGGAGTATATAATGTCTTCCAAAATACAGAAGTCAAGAAACATAACATGAACCATTCCTGAATTCTAGTCTCCTCTATTCCTCTCCTCAACTACCCTAATGCCAAAAGCAGCATTTTCAAAGTTTGAATTGTACAAATCAGCAGTCCTCTAAAAGAAGCATATCGCACATTCATCCCACCTACAAGAGTTCTTTCTAAAAGGGAATTATAGACTATATAACAAACTTGACAAGGCAAAAAGTGTGGGAAGTAGTGTGTGAGTCTGTCAGGTGCATAAGAGAAGGAAAAATGATATCGAGAAAATGTAGCTGTTATTTGTGAGTGGCTATTGCCACAGGGATGAGAAGTTTTCTGTCTCTTTCATTTTTTCCTAAGAATTTGGAATAGAGTCTAACTCAATTTTACAAAACTTATTTATAAAGTAAAATTTACACCTCATTTATACATTCGTTGTTGCATATATCCCTAGTCAATATGGGATTAAACCACCACTATAAAATTGCAATTAAGGAAACCCCAAAAAGGGTTCAACTAAGGCAGACTATGGATGACTGCAATTAAAGCAACATCTGACAGTTCTTTCATTACCAGCTTCTTATTTTCTGCATATTACCTTTGTAATCAGAGCGCTATCCTCTAAATTCAGTTCCAAATCCTATCAACTTAACACAAACTCTTAAATATATAAAGAGAAGCAAAAACAGAAAACAAAATACCAGATCAATTGTCGGCATGTGTCAACAACCGGCTGTGATTTTACCTTCATGAGTTCAAAAACATAATTAGAGATTGACCACAAAAGAAGAGAACGGGGGAAGGAGAAACTATATGAAGTCAAATAACAAATAAACAATAACAATAGCATTATTCCTCTGTATGAACAATGAAGTCAGATAGCATAAGACATCCTTCAAAATAGAAAAACAAAATAAAGAATGCCACAATGTTCAGCATATCAGAAATGGAACTCCCTTAAAACAGACAATAGAACATCCATATGAATCCATGAACACAATCACTTAATATTCTGCTCATTAACAAGGTAATTCACCAACTTATCTAAAGAAATGAAGAAACTCTGTCCAATTTTTCCACAAAAATATTTCCAGCATGAAAATTTTGAAGAATAAAATATTATTTGGTTATTTCATTTAAGACTTTGCCTTGTCAAAGTGAAAGGTTTTAACTGGATACCCAAGATTTAGCACTTTATACAATGCTAATGAAACAAATTCAGATGGACACCTCTTCTAACAACAAACTAGCATTTACATATATGGCTTGCATCTCTAGCACACCCCTTCTAACAAGTTCCATATGGACAGAAACATGGAAATGGATGACCTAATTTTACTATGTTCAGAAATGCAGTTTTATTTAGAAAAATGGGGCCACAAGGAGGCTTTAGTACCTTGTGATGAGCCAACTAACTACATAAACTCTTAACTTGTTAGATGAGTGATACTAATGACTTTATTACATCTAAAACAAGCAATGAAGCACAAACACTTGTGCTTGGGGTGTCGGGGTGTCAGATGCTTTTAACACTGAAGCCTCCTTAGCACAGTAACCTGTCCTATTGTGATTTAATATCAATAAAAAGAACCTTGATGAAAGAAAGAAGACACCATAAACCACAAGTAAAAAAGGACAGAAATTTGAGCATTAGAACTAGATACCTCACCAGAAGTTTGGAAAATCCAATAGATGTGTCCATTTGAAAAATCAAGAAAATATATTTTTCCCATGTAACATCCAACAACAACCTAGAGAAATGTTACATGTTAGAACATATTGATAGAATCTTATAACTAAAGTAACTTAACATTAATAACAAAGGAAGACCAACCTGGGAAAAATCAGAAACAATTGCTGCTGTACATTCAATGCGTCCTTCTAGTTTGATCTCCCACTGGACAGAACCACTAAAACATTTATTGGGTACAAGCTTCAGTAGTGCTATAACAGAACAAGAAACCAAAATATAGTTCTAGAATCAATGGTGGATGCCACAGCTATAACTGAAGGCATTTATATTGTTAACGCTCTATTATAAACTTTGGCGAAGATCAGTGTCACAGCAATTGAAGAACATGATAATCTCAAATGTATGTATAATTGAAGAACTGGTGTCTTTTTATCAGTAGAAATTGTGTGGTTTTAGGCAATATGAATAATGCAACACGAACATGATATTACGCACCTACTATGACACAGACACCAGACCAACATGAACATAGACACCGGAAAACCTTTAACATCTAAAATATAGGACATAGCAATACCGCTAATATACATAATTACCATGACAAATATCCAAATGAGAATTAACATTCATACAACTCAGTATAAAAACAAATTTGCAAAGTTCTTAAGTTTTTCTATAATAATGGCCCTGACAATAAAATTTTAAGCAACATATCTCTTAATAGTTAAAATAACCAGTTAATTCATATGAAAAGAAAATCACACAAAAAATGTTATGAGCCTCACAAAGTTTATAAAATAATTTGTATTCTTTTAATTTCTTCGTATTTTTGTATGATAGTAGTGCCTAGAAAGTGTTTAGCCAAGAAAAATATTGATTCACTCTCTTTACTGGTGTTCATGTTCTGTCAAAGTGCCCAAGATGTGTCAAAGAGGTGTCTAAGCTTAAAAAAGTATTTTATTATGACACAGTTGATGAGTGTTGGACACATGTCAAAGATGTGTCTGAAAAGTGTTGTATTTGAAATGTGTCAAACACGGCAACACACCATTCTATAGTGGTGATGGTGCTTTCCATATTCTTGCCAATTCAAGCATAACAATGCAAGATTGAGCAAATTCAATTTTAGACAGTGGTAATTAAGTTTTCCAATGTTCAAGGGTATTTTAGAAACAGAACAATGATATATCAATTTTGTTTTCCATCCTTAATTAATTTTGTTGTTCTTTGGGTAAAAAATTATATATCATATTGATGCTTTTGAAAACACCTACATATCATCAAGATTGGAGTGGTTTATTTGTGATACTAATACAATCTCGATTGATAAACAAATAAAATATAATACTGAACATATCACACACTGTAGTAATACAATTGCTGTCCCAAACAAAAGTCTCCTAAAAAGAATGATCTCAGTCAACAAACATCAAACAACAATATACTTGCCTAATTGCATACCCTACTTTGAGATATAATCCTAATACATAACTGTTATTAGTTATTTTCAGTGAATAACCTCCATCATGCAGATTCTGACACAGAATTAATACAAAATTTCTGATACAGGATAAATTATTTTTTATCAGATACACTCCGAATAATAATTGCCTGAAATCCATCAACAGATGCTTCCTAACCCACTTGGACCTCAAATCCAATCAGGTCCACATCATTCATTAATCTATACTAAAAGCATTCCAGTGTACCAGAAATTATCATGATGCCCATTGCACAATTTATTAAAGATGAAATGAAAAAAACAAGTTATTGCTGGTAAGCAAACTTTCATCAGAACCAGGAGTTAAACTATAAAATGAAAACTCAATCAAACACAAAACATTATCAATTTAGTTTAATAATAAGAGAAACATAAAGCAACGGAATTACCTTCTAGCATTTATGCAGAAAAATTTATGAGAGTGAGATCCAATGAACAAATAAACATCTGGGCCTTTAAACACAAGCATTGGTGAAGCATCAACACAAGATTCCATGTCAACTTTCCAAAAGTCTTTCATATGACCTCTGTTGCCTCTGGGAACATCAGCAGACGAAGTTGTTTGGTGTGTACCAATAACTGCCTGCTGCCCTTTATGCAACACCTTGTTGCCTCGGTTAAATGAGAATGATAATAGTGAAGGGGAATACCATGGGAATGATTCATCACCCCGTGATGTAACATCTGTCCAACCCCACTTTAAACGTTTAGAAGGAAAAGAATCGTCATCATTATCTTTGGAAATTATCCTTGACTCAAGAGGACTAGAATTTTCAGTATGATTAGAAGAAATATGGTTATCTTGTCTGTCCGTGCATATTTGCAAACAACTATCCAGACTGTTATGCAAAGGGCATGATCCTTTGTTCTGGAGAAGAGCCATACAAAGCTTAAGAGGACTTGGATAGTAGTAAAGAAATCTCAAGTCAATCCCCAAACTGTAAGCAACATGTGCAGCAGAAAGAGAGTTACCGCCCATCATAAAGAAATCATCATCATCACAAACCTTTTCAACCATTAAAGCGTCATGAAATGCCTGTTAAAGCATTACCAAAATAAAATCCTTAGTAAGCGATTATAATTGGCTGAATGTCCAGAATGAAACACTCCTTTAGTTGACTCAAATTTATTGCATAAACAGTTTAGGAGTCAAGATGTTACATGTATATGAAAGGTTCATAAACTCATTCATCATTTGTCATCATCATATAGATCCCACAATAAAAAGAAATGAATATTCAGAAAAGGCAATTTTCTCAGGAAATTTTATCAAAGGGAAAAGGGGTGAAGAATTCTCCAAACAAGAGAGCCCAAAGGAAAAGAACCAGTCATAGATGGTATTTAACAAAATGAACATGCATGAAAAAAAAAACTGAAGATGACCTATAAAATATTCCCTCCTAATTAAATGAAAACAAACAATATAAATGTCAAATACTTTACAGCTTACACCATTGTTCAAGTCCAACTATGATATTGAATTTACAATATAGTTCAGTACATGGTCCTCGAAGAAATTGTGATTTCTATTAAGAAAAATGATAATTTGTCATTATAAAATAATGAAACCATACCTTTTTAATAAGTTGCAGAAGATTTCTGCAGTCGATGTTACCAACTTTATCCTTGACATTCTTTGTCAATAATGCTGAGCCAACCAACAATTCATAATTAATCTTACCACTAGGAGACACAGGAAATGATTCTATAAATAAGAAACGGTTGGGAAGTACAACTGAAGGAAGTTTGTTAATCATCCAAGTTCTGATTGCAGGTATTAATAATTCATCCGAGTTTTCCTTTTTCTTTAATATGATAAAGGCTTCAAGAAGCACAAGTTCTGATTGATTATCTCGACAAACTACAGCAGCATCATTTATATCTGGATGCTCCCTTAGCAAATCTTCAACCTCTTCAAGGGCAATACGCTGTCCATTGATATTTATAATGCGATCTTTTCTTCCCAAAAATACAAAATCACCACTTGGCAACTGTTTGACAAAGTCACCAGTTCTAAAGTATAATTGGTCTTGGCAAGCGTTAATAGAATCACCACAACTGTAACTTTGAAGCAACTTTGCAAATGCATCAGACATTTCATCAGAGTCGTTGTAGTAACCCCTAAAGATGCAAGGACCACCAACATACAGCTCTCCCTCATTTGATGCACCATTTTCACTAAGAAGAATCACATCACAGTTAGGAATGGGTAAACCTATTGGAACACTCGTTAGCATTTCTTCCTTCAAAATCAATGTCATTTTCTTGCAATCAAAATATGTACAGTCACCAGAGACCTTAGTTAAGAAAATGAAAAAGAAAAGAAATGCATTAGCCACTGATAATTATACAAAAGACTAGAAAATTGCACTATGACAAGGACCATGTCTGTTTCTAATTAAGTCACTCGGTCTATATAATTTCCAACATGCATTACTAGATAAGCATTGAATAGCAGTAACAAAGCAACATGAAAACAAGACGGCAGCCAGGAAAATTTTGAAATTATCTTGATGCACCAAAAGAAGCAATGCCATATTAAATTGTAGGGGAAAGAATGTCATAACAGAAATCAAACTGCAAATGAAAATAATGAACACTATTGAAACAGATTATACTGTAGAAAGATAACCTTCTGCTCTAACCTCAGTGGTTCCATATAAATTCAAGATTGATGTCTTCGGTAATATATTTGAAAGCATCTTCCACAATGTTAAAGGAAAAGTTTCACCGCTAAGCACAAGCAATTTCAGTGAATTTTCAACCCGCATGTTAGTATTGGTTTGCAATCCAGGAAGAATAGTCTTCATTAGAGATGGAACAGCTGTGAGCCTATTAACAAAATATGCCTACAGAAGCATTTAATATAACAGGAAAGGTAAGGAATAGAAAGAAATATAATTTTATTACAAAGTATTAACAGATACTGTGATAGAAAAAAATAGAATACACAATGCTTTCCAAACATGTGATATTTAAATATAAATTTGGTAATATTTGTTGGGATAATATTGACAATACATAAATCACAAGAGTACAATCAGAACTACCATACCTGCAGGAAATCTATCATAGAATATAAATTTTCTTTTAGCTCATCGAAAGGAGGAATAACTAACACACAAGCAGTCAAAATAGCACTAAGAAATTCTTGCAGGTGATCAATGAAGCTAACTGATGACTTAAACAACAATATTTCCTGCCCATTCAGAGGATACATTCCTTGCATCCATGAAAAGCGATTAGAAAGACCTAGCACAATGCAATAGTAAAACAAACTGTAATGCACAATTACAACATATATACTATATACATAATAAAAAAAATCTTATGGACAAGAAAGTTTATTTTAAAAACATATAATATAGAGAGGAAGTTGTTAGTTTATAACAAATCACAAATAACTTCCAATAAAAGATATACACTTGCAACAAAGTCCTTATCCATCAGGTGGTATTGGCTCCATGAATACATACACATCGGCCACTAATAAAAACGAAAAGTCCGATAAGATAATTTAGAGCAAGTCTTTACTAATGGCTTCTCCTAAAGTTTTCTATTGACTTCTTACCGCATAACCAGAATTTTGTGTGATTTTTTTATCTTGTTAGTAAGTGCTACTTGAACTTTCTTCTAGTAAATACATTCGTAATAAGATAAAAATGGTATAAACAAAAAACTGATCCTTGATGCAAACCTACTGTTCCAGGAATATATTTTGGTACAACTCCAAGACAACTACTAATAATTGTTTCCCTATAACCTTAATTTAAGTCTTTTATATCTCAAATATGCATAATGCATTATGAACTCTTATTTATAAGATTCTCCCACATAATTGCTCAACTAGAGTTGGGCCCAAGAAGGACCTCATGAGTTGGCCATGTAGAGGACTTAAGATAAGAACGGGATCTATAAAAGACTTTAAATCTAAGGATGGTAAAACAGGTCAGTCCACCCCGTTTTGACCCACCGAAAATGGGGCAGGGTGGACTGGCTCGCCATAGTTAGAATGGGCTACAAACCCCAATCCACCAAAGGATGGATTGATGGGCCACCGGACCAACTCACCAATAATTTTTTATATACATTTTTTCTAAAATATACCTTTAATTATATGAATAATTTTTAAGTTTTTATTTATTAATTAATATTTTTATTAGATAAATTGAAAAAATCACTATATTTATGTGTTAAAATAATTAATTATAATCAATAATTAAAACTTAATTGATTAATTTTTATAATTTAAATTATAATATTATAGTATATTTATATATTTCAATAACATAATAAAAAAATATAATATTTTTAATTAGAATCTTTTTAATTTTAATTTTAATTTTAATATATAAATATTTTTTTAAAACGAGTCGACCCGCTCGCCTTTGGCTCTTCGGGTTGGTAGGGCGGGTCATGACGGGCTAAAACTACCAACCCACCCCACCATTTTTAAGGCGGGCTAGCATACTGGTCCACCAGGCCTAACCTATTTTGTCATCCCTATTTAAATCTAAGCTCCACCAAGTATGTATCTCCCTATTTCTCACCTCTTGAATCGACTTGATATTGACTTGATAGTCAAAGTTGTTGTAGGTGACACCCCCACCATTACTGAGCATGGATGACCACCATTGGAGGCAGGACCAACAAATTTATCTAAGATTGGAAGGTACATGATCACATCCCTCTAGGCTTGTGAAGTACAGACCTAGCATAGGTCTTTTCTATATCGATGAAGACCGTTTGCAATTCTTTTTGTTTCCTTCCATACGAAACCTCACAATAGTTGGGCATTGGGCTCCCTTGCCTAAAAACTGAATGGATCTCCACATAGGAGAATACATCAAAACGAGATGTTTAATTCAGAAAGGTACAACAATAAGTATTGAACATTGATTTACTATACACAATTTTATAATTCCCATTATCCAATAAGAACGTCAAAATAAATAAAAATCATAATAATATATTAAGAGTCAACAACCATAACAGTAATGAAACTTGAAAATTGTTGGATCTTTCAAGTGGGGAATTCATTGGGGAGAGACAACGTCAATGAAACATCATCCCAACTCACATAAGGAATTGATATCACCTTCAACCCAAAATCTTAAGGCATTGAGTTATGGGTCTTTTTTCTTTATATGTTGCTCAACTTCTTCATTCTTACTCAATGTGAGACTTAGACTCACACTTGGATTTCCTAACAATTTTCCCCTCAAGTGCGAGTCCATTCACATTAGTATATCCTCCTCTCGAGCTCACTAGTGGCCCTTTCATGTACAGGAAGACTTTCGATACAAGGATCACTCTTAAGTTACTGATCACCACACAAATCTCGGGTTCAATACCATCTTAAAAATTATGAGATACCTAACTTAACACTACAAAACCGGCTTGATAAGGTGAGAATTGCACTCATCTATATACTATAATGTTATTATATCTCTAATTGATGTGAGGTTTCTCAACAGAAACAACAAGATGTAAATAAATCATATGACAAGCTTCTTCTCATTTGTAGAACAGAAATAAGGGAAGTTGGTAGACTAACAAGGATACAATTAATGTAACATTTTAGTAAAAAAGTCTTGCTTTTATGTACATTAACAGCTACAACAAACCACTGTAACAATAACAAGTTACCTTGTTCAGTCCCACACACTCCTTTAGGCTTTCCAGTTGATCCAGATGTGTACATCAGATAGCAGAATGATCTTTGTTTTTCATTGGAACAAGGCCATGCTAAATCTGATGGACCACAACATTCTTGTAGGATTTCATCAATGGAGTAATTCAAAACAGGACAACTAGTTGACTTTACCAGCCAATGTGATTCATCAAGCTTGTCCAAATTTCTTTTACCAAAAGAAGATTGGGACCCTATAATGAGATCAACATTTGAAGAAGAGGCAAAAGACAATATCCTTTCATTTGGCCCAAACGGATCCAGAGGCAAGAAGGCTTCCCCACACCTCAGTACTGAAAGAACAGCAACGATATATTCAACAGAAGGAGGCATATAAATCCCCACTATCTTTGGCCTATGCTCTTCACTTGATTCCTCTTCACTAGGGATGACAGTTTCCAAGGGCTCATGTTTCTGTACAGTTCCCTCTTCACAATTGACACCATTGTTACCTGCGGCAGAATACAGGATGCTTTTACAAAATCAAGCGCATTCAGACACACAAAAGATTAACCATGAACCATAGAATAACAACTTTTCAGAAATTTGCAAAAGCTTCTAAAACACGGATATTTGAATAAATGGAATTGTTGTATTTTCTTAACTTGAGCAAACCATCCAATCATGATCTAATCGCTTTTTTGGTTGCAATGTAATAGGTGTGAAATATCACTAATTTTTCCAATAACTAACTTTCATGAGACCTGATTGGTTACCTTAAGCAAAGTTTCCCCTTCCAACCATATTTTTTCATTCGTAAAACTGAAAGCACAAGACCTTTTTTAAGAAATTTGAGTCAAGTACCTCAAACTAAAGTAATGTTGGTGCCTTATTCACTTTTATAAACATTTCATAATTTTCACAATTTTAATTGAAAAACAACCCACTCGCTCACTTTCCCTCCAATTTCATCCAACCAAACACACCATAAACATAGCTTCCCCATTCTGATGGATCATGTAACAGCACGTGTAAAACTCCCATGACAATTTCACTCCCAATGTCATCATTAACAATGAAGTAGCTTTCAGAGCTGAAAACTAACCGACTGACTACCTATGTAACTGTTGCATCCCTACCAAAAGTCTCACGTTGCTTAGGTATTAGGTATTTGTTGCAATGGGAAATGTTGAATCAGCATAACCCACATACAACACTTCGAAAGTCGTGAACTAACAACCACAACGCATTTAAGTGAAACACTATATTTGAATAAATTTCTCAATAAAGAGTTCTAGAAGAAAATAAGAGGAAAAAAATGAAAGAAAATATTCCAGAAGCTACAAGTTAGCTTATTAACAAAATGACTATGTGAAAAATTCTACCAATTAACTTATTACATAAACTAATTTTATCTTATCTCATTTTTCTCTTTTTAAGTTTTCTTATCTAAACATCCTAACCAACTATCTAACTAACAAAAGCGTTCCATCGTTGAGTGAATAACTAACCTGGAGATTGGACAGTGATCAAGTGTGGGTCATCCGCACCAAGCAGGATAGAGCGGAGGCGTGAGCTGAGGGAACAAACCGCGTTCAAGACATGAGAGTAAGTGAAGCTCTGGTCCTCGCGGTAGAGTGGCGGAGACGTGGACTCAACGAGTTTCTCTAAGAGCGAGGCAATGTCGCCGTTGAAGTCGGTGGTGGAGGAATTTTGGCGGCGAAACTCGCGGGAAAGGTACGCCCCGCCAGTAGCGTGAACCACTGCGATTTTATTAGGGTTTGCGTACGCTGTTCGAAAGAATTCGTGGGAAATGCAACAGACCTGTGTCTTACTCTTCCCTGCGCACATGGTTTCATTGTTCATTGGTTTCGTTCCAGTCACGTAGTTTCCTTTGGTTGCTCCAAGCAACTTTCTTAAAACCTAACCAATGAAGGGTAAAGACATACAGCTTAAAAATAAAAATTAAATAGTTTTTCCAATTCTTACTATAAAATAATACTCTAGAAAATCGTACATAAGAAAAATATTATTTTAACTGGTTTTATTGAATTTTAATTATGATTAAATCAATCAATAACAGTACATAAAATTATATCTCTAATAAGAATATATAAAATAAACAAAATAAAATTTATCAAAATTATAAAATACTTTTTATTAAATATCAAAATTGTTTTCAAAATTATGTTATAGACGAGAGAATAATGTAATTATACAATAAATATAAAATAAAATCATCATTAATTATAAATTTTATTAATAGAAAAAAAGTTATTGATCAATGAAAAAATCTATAATAAAATAATTAAGAGGAATATCCTTTTATATCATATAAATAAAAAAAATTATAGAATATTATCATTTATCACCGTATTATTAATATAAAATATTTCTTTATTTTTTAATAAAATGGGACGGGAGGAGATGAGTAAAGCGGATCGATTTTCTCTTTTAATTTTTATTTATTTGACATGATGTACTATTATTTATATGAATGAAAGATTGAGTGATGATGGGATCGTTGTCCTAACTAATTTGTGCAAATGAAAAAGAGATTAAAAAATGCGCGAAGTTTATTTTTAAGGATGAGGAGAATGAATGAAAAACATATCTAAACACATGTAAATTTACACATGTTTTCAACTCGAATTAATTCAATTTTATATGCATGACCTCAACTTTTTCAAATCAATTAACTCCTTTATACTTTTCCCATTTTTGTTTGAGAATCGATTCCACATATAATTGATTCTCATATGTTGATGATCTAATGAGAGCAGAATGATCATGATTGAGAGTTGTAAAAGGAGAATAAAATATCAATTTAAGATAAATAATCTAAGGAAAATAAAATATCAATTTAAGATAAATAATCTAAGGAAACTGTTATATTTTCTGGGAATGGAGTCTATTGAAGACAAGGAAGGTATTCTAATTCACCAAAGTAACTATGTCAAAGATGTACTCAAGAAATTTAAAATGAGTGAGTGTAATGCAACGATTATATCAGTTGAGACAAATTTGAAGCTTGATAAAGATGAAGATGAGAAGCCTATAAATGCTACTGATTACAGACAGATGGTTGGTTGTCCAAGGTACCTTGTGTTGTAATAGGTTGAATTTTTGTTTTGGTGTTGGGTTATTAAGCAGATTTATGAAGAAACCCAAAACTTTTCGTCTTGCAACAGCTAAGAGAGTTCTAAAGTATATTAAAATGACGATTGATTTTGTTATTCTATTACTAAATGTTGAGTGAAGGAGAATTGATCAGATATTCCGATTTTGACTGAGTTGGTCATAAAGTTGGGTTCAGAAACACATCAGACTATGTATTCCTATTGGAAAAGTTACTGATTTTATGGTATTCAAATCGAAGTTATAACCTGTTGTGACACTCTTTTCATGTAAAGTTGAATAAATGGTTGTTGTTTACGCACATTGTCAACATTGTGAATCGAGAGTTTTATGAATTGAGTTCTTGGAAGACTAGAGAAGACTACGACATTGAAAATTAACAATAAGTCAGTCAAAACTAAATATCTTATTCATCATAGTAGAAACAAACATACCATATTAACATTTCATTTGAGATGAAATAAGGAAGAAGAAACTAAGGTTTGAATAATATGACACGAAGGAACAACTGACAAATATTATGACTAAGACTTTGAATAATTAAAAATTTGTAGAATTAAGGAAAAATCTAATATATGAAATCGATTATTGAATTAGAGTCTGTGTTAGATGATAATTCAACAATAATATTATAATGATTATTTCAATTAGATTGATTAGTCTAACAAACCTTAGTTATTACTTAAAATATTGTCTTTATAATATTTCAATGAATTTTTAGTTCAATGCAGTTGTATAACTAAGTTTTAACGTTTAGGCTTCTCTATACTTGTTTTAAACCCCTTTTTCCCTAACACTTTTCTAGTTATAAATTTATAATTAACTAAGAGTTCACATATGTCGACTTTGTTTTGATATTTTGAGGTACACAAATTTCTTATTTTGAAAGAAGAGGAATTTCTTCCCTTGGAAAAACGTGTGAGTGAAGCCAAAAGATTAGCTACCACGGTAAAGTTTTGTATTGAGCTGTTCTAATTAGACTATTTGGTAGTCTGGTTGAATTATTATTTTTCAAGATTACAATTTTACAAGTATTGTTTACTTTCTGAGAAATGAGAACAACCAATTATAGTGGAAAAAAGAAACTTTTTGTTTGGGTAGTATGGTACGAGTTCATAGTTTCTAACCTCATTGTACCACAAAAGAAAACAACTTATTTTTTTATGATTGTGTGCAGACAATCACTCCATGAATTAAATATGATAAAGGGCTTCACACTGTTTATGTGACTTAAATATAATAGTAGAAAGTTTTATTATAATTAAAAAAAATGTATAGAATAATTCTTGAGTTTATATATAAAATCTAATGTTTTTAATTAGAGAAGAGTGTGGAAGATTTTGTAGTGGAATTTTAATTAAAGAAGCTCCTAGAGGAAAGAGTTCAAATATCTCCCTTAAATACCTATAAATATTTCATTGTAATTTTTAAACGAAAAATTTCTACTTCTTTCTCACTTCTTTTTTTCCTCAAATCAAGTGTTTAACAATAATATCAAAGTCGATGGTTCATTTGGTGACTAGCTTGTTTGAGTATGATTACAGTAGGTGAAGATCCTAAATTAATGATCATATATTAAAAGTTTTCTCGACAAAAATTTCAAGTAAATGAATCTTGTTATGTTAAAAGTAGTACAAATAAGGTTACTATTAGATACTCATGATTAAAAAATATTTTTTGCTTGAGTAGGTGATATATCAATTTGAAAGAAAATCATATTTGAGACGAAAATTGATGAGAATTTAAGTATAAGATTAAATTGTTAGCAAATTTTGGGTAATGTATATATATGATGCATAATTTAAATGTGTTAGGGTAATTATTTATTAACTCAAATAATAAAGTGATTTGATTAAATTAAAATGTTTGGCTAAATGCATATGTCATGAAAATAAAATTGTTTAGAGACCATAGAACAATTTCTAATTTGATGAGGGGTCAAATTAGAAATACTAAAACTTAAGTAATTAACCTAATTCTGGTTATTTTAAGGGGTCATGGTCCCCTTCTGGGAGCACGTACACAGAACGTAAGTATCAGTCTCGTTCCTTTCTTTCTATCCCCATCAAGAGAGAAAATCAGAAGGGAAATACAGGTGTTCTTCAGGTGGAAGACCATAAGATCAATATAGTGCTCTACAAAGATATCATCGTTATGGCTAATTCAGGTACGCTTTCGCATTCAGTTTACAACATGTTTATCAGTTTGAGATTACGTTTATGTTTGATCGTTAGAATCAAAATCAGGAATATTATTATTATTATTAATTTTCCAACAATTGGTATCAGAGCCGCCCATATCTGATTCATGTCTGTTTAATTTATAGAACCCTAATTATGAAAATTAAGATTAATTTTGTTTTAAACAATTCAATTTACCCAATTTTATGAACCCTAAGTGGAGAATAATCTCTAATTTTCGTGAACCCTAAAATTTAAATTTGGGGGTAACATCCCCAATCTGATTCTGCTTGTTGATGGAACCGTGGAGAAAGCTATGGATTCTTCTTCTTCTTTGTTTTTCCCTTTTGTTTCAGTTTAAGTTTCAAGTTTTACTGAGAAAGAAATAATGTTTCAAATTTCAATCTTTCTTGTATTGGGTTCTCTGTTCTCTTTGAATCTTCTGTTTTTGTTTTTATTTAATTTTATGGGTTTTGTTTTCGTTTTCTTTTCATGGTGGATATGGATGAGTTTGGACTTGGGGGTGGTGTGTGGGGAATTCCCAACACAGAGAATATTAGGTAAATGGTGAATGTTTCCACAGGTGTGACTGTTCTTATATTATGGCATTTAGGAAAATTTGATGTTAAATTCCCCTGTTTAGGGTTTGAATGATTACTGTTTAATCCCCTTTTAGGGTTTAGAGCAATATGTTAAAGAGACTCACAACTATCTCTGTTTCATCCCTAGTGTGATTTTAGGGAGATGTTCATCCTTTATGTATTGGTGGAAAATGAGGCCTTTTTTCATCCTTTGATTTGTTCAAATGAGGTGTTCATCCCCAATGAGATTCTAGGAAGGTGTTCATCCTTAGTAGAATTCTAATGAGGTGATTATCTTTTGAATAAGTTTGCAAATATTAAATATTTGGTTTTGTTATATAAATAAAATATTCAATTTGTTGGTAGTTTAATATTTTTTGTGAGCAAATTGAGTCAAGAAGTCACCAAAGTAACCTCTCTTGAATTGGGCAGTTCATGAAAACTATTGAATGTTAGTGTTTGTGTATATTCATGCGAGTATTAGTCGGCCCAAAGGAAGATTAATATTTGACCGAATTGCATACACACTTGTAATGATAAACATGTGATAATTATAAGGATTTGCTTTGTCGATGATAAATCAATCCAAAGACTGGTTTGTTGTTGGACGTGCTTTATTGTCAATGTTTGATTATTACAACAAGATAACTCTAGCAGTTAATATTACTGTCCAAAGACTTGATATTGATGGTGCATTGAGTGTCTTGAGATGGGTTAAACCATTATTTGAATATATATTTATAATTATTTAATTTTTATATAATGTGAGCATAATTAGTTTATTTCTCGTGTTCTAAATTCAGCTACAATTGCTTCTGTATCTTCCAATTTAAATTATGTTTCGGTCCTCAATGGAACAAATTTTAAGGACTGGAAAAAGAACATTGATATTATTCTTGGTTGCATGGATATGGATCTTGCGTTAAGGACTGAGTAACCCCCTTCTCCTACG